GTTTCTCTGTCGACTTGGAATTGCGGCTATATACCTTAGGTAGGATCATGCCGTTCGCTCGCGCATCCTTCACTTATCCCCACTACCTACCTAGGTAGGCAGCCACTCTCAGTCCATTTCTCATAGTCACTAAAGTACCGGTCGTGGATACGCTCGCAATAGTCCACCAAGACTGGGATACTCCTGACGATACGACCGGCTTCAGGTGCCCTAGACGCCTGTTAACAGCGCAGCTCGAGGCCATGGGTGGTGGTGTGCTTACGCAGTGCAAACCATTGCGCTCGCGATAAATCCCATAAGCGTGGCATCGGCCTCAGTAGGCTGCTTTCCACCTAGGAGCCAGAAGGGGGCGTCGCTGTTCTTTGTCGGCGCTTGAAGTCGTGCTTCGCTCAGCTGGGCACCGATGGCTTCCCAGCCCTCCTGGTGAAGGGTGGCTACCTCGTGCCGCGTCAGTCTTCCGGTGCCCTGGCCGTTGAGCGCGCCGGAGATTTTGTTGTACGCCAGTAGGCCCACGACAACCTGGATAGGGTACGGTATGGCGGCCATGACGTTCGAGCGCATCGTCACATAGTTATCTTGCCAGCGCTCGCGTACCTGGGTTTGGCCGTTAGCCACGACATTGTTCACCATTCTGCCGACCCCGGCGTTCCCTCGCTGGTAGCATGGCAGGGAAAGTGGTCGACCTACCCCGTAGAAGTACAGCTTGTCCTCCATCAACGCTCGGAGGGCCAGGTCCTGGGTCCGTTGGGCCGCGGTGAGCCCAGCGTTCAGGTCCGGCAGCACACCTTCGTCGACGAGCCGACGGATTATGAAGGTGCTGTCGCCTATGGTCTCCCCGTTGCCCAGGTCCGCGTACGGGATTTTACCAGTCGGTGCAGACCGGGGAGAACCGGACAAGACGGCGTAAGGCACACCAGCCAGTCGTAAGCGCGTCTCAAGCTTGCCGACGAAGGGGGACCAGGTCCAGCGGCCCGGCCAGTCGAAGCCCCGGTAGACGGTGAGTTTGGAGATCGACTTGGACGGTTCCGTAGGCGATGCCATGTTGTAGGTATACGGGCTCGCAAGGTCTGACAAGGTCCCAGATGGTGTTCTCTCCCGGCGAGGAGGAAGTAATTATACCTACCCGGCTTGCGATTGCTGCGCCGCACGGCGCGGTGGATCTACGACGGTCAGTGACTCAGGCCAAGCTGTCGAAAGAGCGTCTGTCGGGCTTCGGCACTTCGGCGGACTTCGGATACGGGCCTTGAAGGGCGATTGCGACTTGGCACCCGGCGCTGCGACGGCTGGGCTGCGGCGAGGCGCGACAATGTCAATACAGCGATCTCCAGCCTCTCCGCAGGTTGGCTGTGTGTTTGCCAAAAAGGTAAACTAACCATCTGTACAGCAAACAGTCATCCTGTGTCCTCGGGGAGGCTCGAACTCCCGACCTCTGGATCGCCCATTCTAAGAATGGATCATATCGATGTCTATGAGACCAGCGCTCTAACCAACTGAGCCACGAAGACTTACTAATCAAGGTGGATTGGAGGCTGGTGTGATCTTAGTGAAAACTATGGAGACATCATATTAGAGCGAGGAAGACGCATGCCCGAGGTCTTCTACATGTGCCTCGTGGCTAGCTACCTGCTGTAGCAGAGATTCTTGCTCTTCCATTTGTACCTAATGCGAAGGTCATGGCTACAGCCTCCGGAAGATAAAGTCCATCGCGCGGTGAACGGTTCCGCGACCGCCCGAGCAAGTAGAAGATCATGACAGACCAACTATCGCAGTCTAGGCCGTGGGAGCGATCGAACTCGTAGAGCAATGCCCCGTGGGTTGAATTACCATGAGCGGAACCCTCCCACTCCAAGTCCACCCGTCTACACCGGTGACAAGGACACAGACTGGTGGGCGGAAACTGGAGCTGTCCTTTACACACCTGGTTTGAATGGCGGTCCCTCGAGCAATAATGCGCATCGTGACTCACCACTGCGCGAGCTTTATCCCGGCCTGGCAATGAGCGTCACGTTTGATGTGTGTTTGCCTACACGTGGTAGCGAGCTCGGGACCAGTCATGCCAGAATAGACTACTCGAGCGCTTTGCAGGTCGTTAAAGCCTGCTCGCTGAACGCGGGAAACGAGGGCATGCAACATACTCTCGTATTCCCGCCTTGAGTATTGGCCAGTTAACCGATCGTTGAGACGTGGACTGACCTCGACTTGCCATCCACAGCCATGCCACACAGTCATGCCCAGCAGTACGTCGCTTCGAAAGGCGTACCCGTGGCCACTGCCAGCACCGGGCTGCCGTTGCGGTTACATACGGTCTGCCAGACCACAACGCCTCCTGAATCTGGAACTCGGGTCACCTCACCCGCCGTACAAGAGCACGGCGGACGCGATATCCAGCAGGACGAACAGCCGCGGTCTCTTGCAATCCAGAGCTTCGTTCCTGGCGCGCAAGGAAATAACGAGACACGGGTTAACAACCTGACAGCCGAGCCAGAGCCCCCACGATGTTTCGAGAAAGACGGTGTGCCCTCTCGCGGGTCGGATGAAGCAGACGACCCCTTTGGACACGGGGCCGAGCGAGTCCCGTGTGTGCGATCCTACGGCCCTCCCAGCGAGGTCTTGTTCGAGTGTCCCGGGCCACAATATATCACCTACCAGACTGCTTGGTACCGGTTACGCGGGTTACTCGACTTCCTCATATGCACACGCTGCTTTGAGGACCATGTCAGAGGTACTAGACATGAAGGCTCGTTCGAGGCACATAGGCAGGGGAAAGGGGCACTGTCGACATGTCGCTTCTGGGTGCCACGCATCGTTCACGACCTTTGGCCGGACGCTCTGAAGACCGGGCACATTGGTGCGCTTCGTGATTTCATGATACGCCGTCCCCAGCTTGGGGACTGTAGCCAACTGGAAAGCCCACATCGCCGGACGAGCAGGCAGTGGTTTATATCGCATTCTGGAGAGTTTGCCGCGTGCGAAGCGTGCTATGAAGATCTACTCCGTGGCACATGTTTCGCCGTACAGGTCCCGCAGCTCCAGAGTAACCAGCTCGGGGCCAAGGCTCGGTCCATCGCATGCCAGGCCGGGCAGCTGTATATCAGGAGAGCACTGGAATATTACATGACGAGCGGGGATTGGGACGGGTTTCTTGCAGCAATCCAAGGACGACTCTCGGCTGTCAGCTGCACAAAGGAAGCAGAAGGCACGCGTGTACAGACCTGGTACCGCTCCCGTCGGCCCATACGGGGCTTGAGAGTGTGCGATGCCTGCTTCTTGGACCAGATTGCATACACCCCCTTCGAAGGCGAGTTCACGACGATGGGTAACGACGAGTGGGGGCCTACCGAGCTGCGGCATCGGGTGTGTACTTTCTCGATCGACGCAGTCAACATCGCGTGGGCAAGCGCCGTTGCTAGGAGAAGCTTTGGAATATTCTGGAATGCGGTGGTTGTCATTCTGGGTAGCCCAAAGTGTCGGACTAGAGGGACGAAAGGCAACCCGTCGTATACGATCGACGACGATAGGGTCAACTTCAATGTGTGCCAGGCCTGCTATGCCGGCGTTATCGCTCCTTTCGAGTTGGGGGAGTTCTTCGTCCTGGCGGAGCAGGCTGAGGAGGAAGACACGCAGTGTGATTTGAACACAGCATCGCCGCGCTTCTGCCTGCTCGCACGGGGAATCGCCCATGCGACTAACGTGGGTGACTTTGGCATCTTCCGTGACTACGTTCGCAGACTGTCCACCTGTCCACCATGCCCGCGAGCACAAGCAACCAGCAACGAGACTTGGTACTTCATCGAGGATTGCGCCGTGTGTCCCGAGTGCTACGAGGCAACGGTCCGAGGAACGGTACTCGCACAGAGCCACAGAGTTGTCAGGCTTCGAATCCGCTTCCCGGTGCTGTGCAGTGTCTATTCCGAGCGGATGAGGCGCGAATGGGCCCGGGCTTGCTCAACTGGGGAGATAAGCTTGTTTCTTGAAGCAGCTCGCCATCGTCAACAAACATACTTCCGCACAGTGCCGGCAGCGGAAGAGATCAGGAGAGACAAGCGGCAGCGGATGAGCGTAGCTCTAGATCGTGGAGTGATGAGTGCGATGCACGAAGCAGGTAACCTTAGGTGCCCTCCCTACACGAGCACGTCATAGCCATGCTGACCTGGGCCTGAGCAGTTGACCAGCACGCCAGGACGATAGGAATAGGGGATGGGTTACTACATGGCAACAATGATCTCGGCTGGCATCGTACATGGCAGGGGGCAGAAAGTACACGGCTGACACAGGTGATGCAGGAAGAGATAGGCCGAGTATTGTCTCCAGAGGATTGGGCAACCATTTCACGTCTGGAGAGAGAGTGGGCCGCGGTTGAATAGGGCAGCTTAGGGGTATTTTACAGTGTGCTTAGCTAATGCGGACATCTTATCTAATCTGATAAACGGTGCACGGCCATCAAGCATGCCCGCTCCCGCCCCGATCTGCACTCTCCGTTCACTTACGACAGCCATCTCCCGGCCTCGTCTACACGTCCGGCACCCAACGACACCTCGACACTCCCACACCTTGACGGGAGCCTCTGCCATGGCTTCATCCGAGTCACGCTTCACCGCGCAGAACAAGACCACCCAGCAGCGCATATCAAGCAACACCGTTGGTCTTGTTGCCCTCTCCGACTTCCGCAAGCGCCGTGCCGAGGTCCTCGAACAGCAAGAGCGTGAAGCCCGTCAAGCTGCTGTTGCTGCCGATCCGACGTCCACCCCAGATCGCTCCTTGACAGCCACCCCCGAGAACACCAGCGATCCCGACGCCCCACGCAGAAAGAAGAAGAAGAAGAAGACTGCCAGAGCTGCCGCCGCTGCCAAGCTGTCATTCGGTGGTGACGAAGAGGAAGACGGAGCCGACAGCAGTGACCTTGGCACTGGTCATAACACGGCCAGCAAGTCAGGCAGCACTGCTGTGACAGAAGCTAAGGACACTGGCGAGAAGAAGAAGGGTGGATTCCAGGCCAATTCGTCAGTCCCGGTCGTTCCTCGTTCTGTTACCAAGTCTGCCCTACGCCGTGAGGCTGCCGAAAGAGAAGCCCTGCGCCGAGAGTTCCTGGTGCGCCAGGAGCTTGTCAAGACGACCGAGATCGCTGTGCCTTTCGTCTTCTATGATGGATCCAACATTCCCGGTGGCACGGTTCGTGTCAAGAAGGGTGACTTCATCTGGGTCTTCTTGGACAAGAGCAGGAAGGTCGGTGCGGACCTGGGTGTCGGCGAGAAGGCCAATGCCCGCCGAGAGTGGGCGCGTGTCGGCGTGGATGATCTCATGATGGTCCGTGGCAATGTCATCATACCTCACGTACGTTGTCCCCTCCCTGTCCCTGCATGACTCTGAAGACTATTATGGTATCATTGAACTCTATGAAATATTGGCAGAATGTGCTGACAAGTTAATAGCATTACGAGTTCCTGTTCTTCATCATGAACAAAACCCTTGGCCCCTCCGGCGAAGTCCTCTTTGACTATAGCACCGAAGCCCCTGAACCTCCCCAGACCACTGCTGAAGATCAGGCTCGGCAGCCTACTCCTGTCCTCAAGTCTACCAGAGCTCAGCCTGATATCAGCTCTCTCGAAGGCGCGTCGCACGATGCCACCATGACCAAGGTGGTGGACCGGAGATGGTACGAGCGGAACAAGCATATCTACCCTGCCAGCGTATGGCAGGATTTTGATCCGGAGAAAGATTACCAGAAGGAGATCAGGCGTGATCTCGGTGGCAATGCGTTCTTCTATTCGTGAGCCAGTGCTGCTGTTGGGATGCATCTGTATCCGAATCCATTCACCGTGCTGGTCTCCCCCTCCGCCAGCAAGCCCCGTCCAGCTCGATGACCCGGCAGTCCTGGTCGCAGGCTATTTCGCAATTGTGTGAGAGCTTCTTGCCGGAAGAATTTGGGCCTCGCTCTTTCAGGCAGCGCAGATGGACATCAACAGCACGACCAGCGCGACTATCGCCCAACCGGGCCAGAAGATCATCAAACATAAGCTGTTGCCCCCCGAGCCGAGTATAAGGGTAAAGAATTCGAATTCGAGCTTCTTCCTCAGCCGTCTGATCCTCTTGGATTCCCATAGGTTCCAGACCCCTCTTCGGAGAGCAGCGCTGCTACCGACAAGAAGCGCCTTCGGGCCCTGGACGGCCGAGCCAAGGTCGAGATTGCGTGACAGGGAGAACGGCGCGGTAGTGCTGACCAGGTTGCGACCTGGAATTCCGGGGGCCCCGATAGGTGTCATGTTGCTGGCACCGAAGTGCCCATGTTGAATCACGACATCACCCGACTTCTCGGTCGGAGTTGCGACGGTCATCACTCCAGAAAGCGCCATTTTGTTTCCACGAAGCACGGTCAGCTTGCTGGTAGGTTCTGGTCAGGTTGATTGTCAGCAATGCGGTACCCTTTGCGCCCGGCGGGTGGTGTCGTCTCCGCTACACAATCGAGGAGACAGCAAGAAGACCAGAACAGAAGACCAGAGTCAGACGT